AAAAAAAAAGACTTATGACGGGTCCTCAATTGTCGCATCATCGCCTCGGTCACAAAATTTGGGTGGTTCACAACCGATATGTATTTACAATGGTTACAGTGTTGTTGGGTCATGTAATCACCATTTTTGATCTTCCCAGTCAGTGCCCCACAGGCTAAATCAATGGGGGCAGCTGATGCAGTTAATGACTGTAAGAGTCATTTAACAATTACAGTGATTTGCTTAAAACGGTGGCAGACAAGGTTATAAAAGAGTGCCATGGTGGTGCAGTGGTGAGAATGCAACATTGCAGGCGAACTCTGCATTCTAACTGCCAGCAGTTCGATCCTGATCATCTCAAGGTTGACTCAGCCTTCCATCCTTCCAAGGTTGGTAAAATCAGGACCTAGATTGTTAGGTTGACTCTGTAAACTGCTCAGAGAGGGCTGTAAAGCACTGTGAAGTCTAAGTGCTATTGCTAAAATCCGGTAACAACCACCTTGATTAACATTGTTGTGTGAATCATTGCAACTGCTAAGTTAGTAACATAGTTGTGAAGTGAATCTGGCTTTCACCTTGACTTTGCTTGTCGGAAGATCCCAAAAGAGGATTGTGTGATCCTGGGACACTGCAACGGTCATAGACGTGAGTCAGTTGCCAAGCATCTGAATTTTGATCACATGATCATGGGGATGCTGCAATGATCATAAGTGTGAAATATGGTCATAAATCACTTTTCCCAGTGCCATTGTAACTTTGAGTGGTCACTAAATCAACTCTTGTAAGTCAAGGACTACCTGTATTTGGATAAGCATGGCTGGCTATGTCTATCGATGATTTATGAGTTATTGTTGGGAAAACTAAAGCTTTAGACCAACTTTGGACCACTTCATGCCCTTCAAGTGTATTTAGACTTAAGTCCCTATACTAGTTCCCATATTTCCTGAACTTTCCAAAAATTATTGGAGCTAAAATCCTAAATCCCTGGAAGACACCAATTTGGAGAAGGACGTTAATTCAATTTATATTTTGATTTGCTCCAACAAAATAATTCTTTCTCATGAAGGGAGGCAAATATATGTGCCCTGGGACAATGTTGCAGGATCCAACAACTTCTCTCTCCTGTATCCATTCTGCTGGAAAGAAGTTCTCTGAGGATGGACTCCAAAAACTCAGAAGACTAGACCTCTGGTCCCGGTGGCCGATCCAGATTGGATCCTGCAACTTTCTTTCTGTTTTTAAGGGTTGTCTTCTTCTCCGGGAGATCTTAAATTGGTTGCCTCAGAGTTGCAAGAATGATGGAAATGTTCTAATGGTCTGTCTCTTTGCATCCAGCTAGTTTTCCTGTTCTCTTTTTCTAGCTAAGAACGTGGTACGCAGCTCCTTGGTGGTAATCGAAACAACTGAGTGCATTCAAGGACAAGGAGAAGGCTACCGGGGTACCGTGAACACCATCTGGAGTGGGATTGAATGCCAGCGCTGGGACTCTCAGGTGCCTCACCAACATAACTTCACGTGGGAAAACTTTAAGTGCAAGTGAGTCCCCCACATGAGCAACACAAGTTAGATAAGATTGGTTGAGCACAATATGGAGAGCAATCATTAAGGTTTCTGATCCAAGGGCAGAAATTAGTGGTATTGTGTCTTTTGGAATTCTTTGTCATTGCACCTCTTTAACAAGCTGACATAAAGAACACGGTGGTTCACGAGGTTAGAATGCTGGGCTGCCAATCGGCAGGCATATCGTGTTCGAAACCCGTTGCTGCTGTGAGATGGGGTGAGCTCCCATCACACGTTCCAGCTCCTGCCATTCCAGCAATATCGAAAGCGGGCAACTGCGAGTAGATTAATGGGCACCACTTCAGTGGGCAACTTCACAGGGACGTGAAAGGAGCTCTCCGTTGGGTGTCCTCTGTGCAACAGTGATATCACTGGCAAATCCTTTTGCCACAGAACCACTTTGATGCTTCCGACACTGGAAAACAAAAACAAGAAGTTTACACGTCATTTTTGCTGTAAGAAATAAATCCTCTCTAGTGTTGTTATCCACGGTTCTTTCTTATGTAGTGTTCCAAGCTTGTGGATTTTTGAGACACCCAGTTTGCAGCCTTTGTGTGTCATTTGGGGTGGGGCAATAATATTGGCAGAAATATGTTGGGTTCTCTGTATCCATTTCTGACAAGTTCTTTGAGCAGATGACTTCTTATAGGTATGTCTTGTAAATGGCAATAAAATTTCCTTTTTATAACCCTGTAATCCCTTAATTTCGGGTAGAGTTGGGGTGACTGGATGGAGCTGAGCATTTACTGGCTGGATGCCCTTCCTGACACCTAGGTGGAGTTTGCAACAGATATTTTCTTCTTGGCGCCCTGATACAGAAACATCTACCTAGGACTGAACTCACAACCTTCCAAGTGGGAGGCAAGGGTCTTCACACTAGGCCACCATGCCTCTCTGTCCTGTAAATAGCAATGTGGTGGCTGTATGTATGTGCAGATGTTTGGACCAACATTCCCACAGTTGACCACAGCTGGGGCAGCTGTACACAAGAGTTATGTTTTTTTTTTCTGATCTTGGACACCTCTTCTCCATCTTTCTGTATTTTGGGAGAAGCTGCAGCTTTGCCTTCCCCCATCTCTGGCTGCTTAGTTGACCTGAAGGAACCCTTATTCTGTCACATCTGTTCACCTGTAGATGATGATGATGATGATGATGATGATGATGATGATGATGATGATGATGATAACAATACAAAGACCTACAAATAGAAATAGAAAGACTGTGGCAAAAGCAAGCAAGGGTAGTACCAATAGTAATAGGCGCCTTGGGTGCAATCCCAAAACAACTGGAGCACCACTTGAACACCATCATCGGCATTGACAAATTCGCCATTAGTCAATTGCAAAAGGCGGCCTTACTAGGAACTGCTTCCATCCTGCGACGATATCTGTAATACCATCAAACATCCACATCTGCCTATC